CAATATGCCCTAACACATTGCGTACCGGACATTTTACCCCGTCGATCTGCCACTCTGACCTAAGCCTCAGTTACCTTAGCCTTAAGCTTGATGCCTACAATGCTTTGACATTTTCGGCCATATGCTAGGCAAAAGAACTCGCGAAGGGACTCAAAACGGAGATCTTGAGCGGTACGCAAAGTATTAAGTGACACTTTTCCATCGTGTATATCTCAGGCAGGCCCAAAACTCCTCCATGGTAATAGATTCTGTCATAGGTGGTGGCACCTCCAAGAATAGCCCGTGCATGCTCAGTTGAGGATACAGCATAAGTTTGAAGAGGTCGGTTCGCAGTCATATGAAAAAAAATGGCTAAACGAACATGACCATGGATTCCAAGTCCTCGGAGCTTGAAGCTCTGTCTTGCAAAATCATTTTATCTATCCCTAATTGGAAACCAGCTGACCATTCTTGAAGAGGCTTCTTACATTGATACGAAACTCACCATTATAGAGGAACTCAGAGACTTGATTCAGAGACATGCTGGACAAACATCACTTCAGGTAGATTGGGCAGACTATATACTTGAATATAAAATAAGTTAATGCAAATATAATAAATGAAATGCAACAACAAAATATTGAAAAATCAGAATATGCCACTATAGAATTGCCACAGTCAATCCTTTATCATGGCTCAAAACAGCAATATCGGTTGATGCGGTGGAGAGAACTATTTTATTATTGCTTCTAAGATGTGCAGAGGTTATCCGTAGTAACAAAGTTTAGCCAGTGCCACTAGGTCCATCAATGAATATCATTTTAGTTGCGTCGTTCAATTCATCAGTCCTCTCAACTACATATATCTGAAAATAGCTGATCGATCTTGAGTGAGTTTCGACATCCATTCCTCAGCATTAAGTTCCATTTCTGATTTAGACCAGCGTAATAGTGTCCTTCCGACTTCAGTTGTGGTATCTTGTGGTGTAGGCAAACCGGCATCCTCGCAGGATTTGCCATAGCAGCGCAACTTCACGTCGATGTCCAGTAATGCATCATTGTGTGCCTTGTCTTTGTTGGGAAATTGTAATCTTGTAATCTTGTAAGGATGTAATCTTCGGACAACTGATCCTTGAACTCCTCCCACAGTATTCCTGGTCACCCAACCAATAACATGCACATAAATTATTGTCTCAACCCAGCACTGTCTTGAAACCTGAAGCTTCCATCAGAGCATCTCTGCATTCATTGTTGTCTCCTAAGATTCCCCTTGCCCTAGCTGCTTCCTGGAATGTTTCATATGCATGGTCCTCCACCGTTCTGAGATCTTCATAACTGTTGTCTGGTACTTTAGATAAGTGCACTCGCAAGTAGTAAATTTCCCCAATTGACGTTGATACCTAATGCATTCTTGCGACACGCTCAAACTATCGGACTTACAGGAGCATACGATTTTTCTGTTTTGTTTTTGTTTTTTTTCTCTTCATTTTGGTACTCAGGATGACTTGCTTGGTAGCGTGCCTCTGTTTTTCTGAGGTCCTCTGGGTGGCTTGCTTGGTAGCGTGCACTTCTAGCGCTGTGTTGTTCTGCAGGTGTGAGTGTTGATGTGATAGGGCGTCCGCGAGAATTCTTTCGAGGTTTACCTCCACGACTCTCAGTTGACGTTAGAGATACGTTCTGTGTTGGAAAGGGAAACATTCTGTTGGTCATCATTTCCACCCGATGGTGGTCTCGTTGCTACTGTTTCCATTGAGTTTCCCTCAATGTTCTCATCAAGAAGATGGGGTCCCTACCAAGTGCGATTGCTATTGCAAAGGCAATTACTATCGTAGTCGTAATCTCTCTGGAGTCTGCAACCTTGAAGCTATTCATGTTCCTTGCTTGCTTCACCTTATATAGGATAAGGGAAGTGTTCCTCTGAGGATGCGCCATTAGCATTTAGCAACAATAGCATCATTGTCAATATATCAGGTTTTTTGTTTTACTGTCTCCGTATGAGTAATTTAACGGAACATGAATAACTGCACATATTTCCTTCTGTCACTCACGAATCCATTAGGTCAACTTTAAATATTTGGTCTTCCCAACACTCCTGAAACGCTCGTTTCTAGCCGTCCAATTTCCGCCTCCTTAAATGGACGCCAACCATGCTAGTAGCGAAAAATTCTACTGGAGCGATTAGGAGCACGCACGGGATTGAGACCTTAAAAAAAAACACTCGCGAAGCGCAGAATGAGATCTAGCCAAGCACTCTGAACTCATTCTTGAACTATGACTTTCACTGCGCCTAGCACTCCTTATCTGCAGACAAATTTTGGTTTTACGCCTCCCTCCCGTTCTACCCTGCGACATCCCGATACCAATTAATCCATGTGAAGGGTCAGAATTGCCTCGTTCGGCCACTGCATGAATCACAAGAAAGGACGATATTTTCGGGAGATTTAATGTTTTTTTCTATTAGGTCTGGGAAAAGGTATCCGGAACTTTTCGACTCGTATCTTTGACCCCCTGTAACTTTTCATGCAACAAACATTATCAATCAAAATAATCTCCCTCACAATCAATAACTTCTTCCCATCTTTCCTTAAGAGAATCGATTCCTCTCTCCCAAAACACCGCATCCCGTGAGCCAAAAAAACCATCAAGTGCGTTTTTGAGTGCACCTTCGTTCGGGAACTGCTTCTTGCAGATGAAGTTGTCCAGCGACCTGAATAGGTAGTAGCCCGATGGTGCAACGTCCGGTGAATACGGCAGAACTTGCCAGTCGAGGTCCTTCGATTTTTGCTGGGTCTTTTTGGCGACGTGTGGTCTTGCGTTGTCGTGCAAGAAGAGGACCTTTTTTCGATTGACCAATGCGGCCCGGGATTTAAGCAGGGCTTCATGTACGCGCTGTAGTTGTGTGCAGTAGACGTCCTCGTTGATGGACTGGCCGGTCTTCTTGAGCTCGTAGTGCACTACGCCGAATCGGGTCCACCAAATGCACAGAAGTACCTTCTTTGGGTGTAGGTCGGGTTTCGGCATTTTGCTCAGGGTTCAAGAGTATGATCTTCGTTGGTTGTTCCACAGAACCCACTTCTCATCTGACGTGATGATCCGGCCAATCATCGGGTCTTCCTTGTGACGCGACAGCAAAGATGAGCAAATGGTCGCTCTTTTGAATCTTCCCAGTTTCGGACAACTTGTGAGGGACCCATTTGTCCAGCTAGCGCACCTTTCCCATGGTGTGAAGGTGATTGGACACGGTTGTACGGTCGCAGCCGAGTTTGCTCGCCGATTCAAACGTGGTTTGGTGCGGATCATCTTCGATCATGGTCTATAGCGCATCGTCATCGATGACGGATGGGCGTCCAGAACGTAGTTCATCTCGAAGAGTTCGATCTCCACGTGAAAACTTCTCAAACCATTCGTATGCCGTGGATTTGCTTAAACAGGCATCGGGGTACATGCGACGGACCGCGTCGTTCGCGTTGCGCCCCTTATCGAACTGGAGAAGTAAGCAATGACGGATGTGGTCGTCGAGCCGCATTTTTCAATCGAGCGGGAAAACTTTTGCCTGAAAGCTATACACGGCAGATATACAACATTTTACAGAGCCTTTCAGCGTCTTTCTTTTCATATACTGTATAACATAGCCACAGAACAAGCTTAGGCGGCGCGGCACGAACCCCTCAAGCTTAACCCACAAAAAGTTCCGGATACTTTTTCCCAAACCTAATACTTCCCCTCGCCTGTACATGGGAAAAGACATAGTAGGGGATGAAATAGACTGCGTAACGATCCAGTAGCATCGGGGGAATCAATATACGTACTGTATAGCGGCGAGTTCAGTGCGACCTCGCTGTTACTGTGGGAACTTTACTTTCTATTGAAGGAACTGTTGAACGGCAGACCAGATGGAAGGCTTCCCCGTTCATGTTCGACATCCTAGGAACGTTCACAGTGAATCCGCCAGTGACCTGCGCCAATCTCTTCCTCGAACCCGAGGAAGAGATTGCTCTTACCCTGGATTCGAACCAGGGTCCCTACGAAATAAACCGCTCACCTACTTCGATGGATGTCCGCCAGATATTCCCCGTGCCTATGAGCATACATGCTGGCGTACGTCAGAATTGAAGCTACCTGGGACTCCTCATGACCGCAGGGAAACCGTTTACCTTTCGAAGCCGATTGAACCCAGTTGACTGTCTCAAGGTTATGGGACGAGGGAGAAAAAAAAATTATTTCTCTCTCAAGTATAGTACTTCCTACGAAGGAGGTCGAAGCGAAGGCATTAGACCTGAGACACTTTTAATTGCGAAGCCCAGGTCCCGAATACTTGAAACCTCCTTTAGTTAAATGTTCCTTTAAGAATCCATGAGCCCCTTGGATAAGAATCCACGGGGAAGAAAGAACACCTCAACCTAAAGGCACTTTTTATCTCCCCTAAATGAAGTCTTTGTATTCGGACCTTAGTTTCAGATAAATTTTTGCTGAACGAGTATTTACAGTTGGAGAAAGAAGTCGTTATAAGGGATGTGTTGCTGATGTGCTGAAGCGAAGAACAATTTAGCCTTCTCCCACGCCACCTTTCGACAAGAGCAAAAGGAATGAGGAAACACATGTCCTCTTCAACGACGACCACTTAATATGGTTATTTCTGTCTGCGTTCATCATACCCACTGTTGCCTTCGATTCTGTCTGCGAATTGCCATTCGGCATGAAAAGTGCCTCATTTGGACAGCCCCCAAAGTCTTATAGAGGAGTTGCTAAACGTCTTCCCACTTAAAGGAATTCTATAGTAGATGTACTATAGAATTCCTTTAAGTGGGAAGACGTTTAGCAACTCCTCTATAAGTATAAGGTGCTAATGATAATCCTAAGCGCCTGAGAAGCTACAGTTTCTCTTAGCCTAGTAGAGACGAGGTTCATCTATTAGATAGAGCGCTTCCAACATGGCCTCCAATCCTCATCATCAGAAACAAGACTGGGTTAATACAAAGAGTCAACGACTTCCCCGTCACCAAAGCCATTGGCAAAGACATTTCAATAATGGCGCACCTTTCCAAAATGCAGCAGAACTTGCTCCACCCATTTTTCGTGCATATCAAAATGAGCGACGTCTCCGTGTATGAGGAGAATGTCTTCATCACTCAGCCGACCTTGTGCATTTTCTGCAAATTGAAGAAAGGATTTCATTCGTCACGTGTGTCTTTCTACGAGACCAGGAATGGCTTTTATATGTCCTCACCGAGACAGACTGTTCTCACGGAGTCGAGATCTTCCCCTTGGAGGCTGTGAAGGACAAGCTTGGCCCCGACCTTGGCCAAGGCGAAGGCCAGTTGCCTCCCAATCCCTGACCCCGCACCCGTGATCCAAACAACTTTCCCCCTGAGTGCCTCTAGATGATTATGGAACGAGAGATTTGCACTCTCATCTATGCCGAGAATGAGAATGACGCATGCAACTCTACTCGTGCATTCTCCTTAGTCAAAAGTAGAGTGGATGCCGACATTAAAATAGATAACACGGCACCGCAAGTATCGATTGCATTGGAAGCAAAATGTCAAAGTTTTTACAATACTATATAAAATGAAACAGAAACAAATCCTGGAGATCGTAAATGTCAGCAGCATTCATATTCAGCTCTTACCGAAACTTAACAAATTTCAAATTGAGAGTCTGTTGCTCGGTTTTACTTCAAGTACAGTTATTGTTATTTCTCAATTTTAGTCCAATCATGAGGGAGAGATGGCAGCAACCTCCATACGGTCCTCCATGTTGAGTGAACATTTTAATTGCGCTTTTAACCTGCACGAGTATTCTGCGTGCGAACTACCAAAAGTGTCAACACTTTGGAGAACGAAGGTCTATTCGACCTCCCGATCAGCATAACATTTCCAAGAAAGGCTCTTTTCAGAGCCAAACGAATCGACCGATAGGTCCGTCGATTCGTCCTTGCCAACTCGAGGACCTATCTCGTTTGAAAACTGATGTCATCGTGAGGCTGCAGACGGACAATAACATCGACGTCCCGGCTCTGCAAGGACGTCGTTGCAAAATAAGACTCAGCGCACCTCAAGATACCAGGTAACGTTCTACTCTCCAACCGAAACTATCCATAACGCAGAATGACCACTTACATGGGTTGAAACTGAGGAGACAAAGCCGAGGCATTGCCTGCAGCACACGACGGTTTCGCGATCGGTATCTGAGTCGGTGAGCTGACAATATACACAGTCTACTGTATAAAGGCCCTGTTATACTAGGCGAATACTCGCTAGGGCCACTCGCTTAGTGTAACACCCCACTCGCTAGCACTTGCTACGATTTTGTAAGATTTCAAACTTCAGGCGAGTACTCGCTAGTAAGGGGTTCGCGTCTCCGTTCGCTCCAATGGGATTTTCTCCTTTTTTTCAGTCTTCATGCTGATGGAAAGTTTCTATGGTACAGTAAGCCCAATTATTCCTTGTAGAATTTCATAGACCCTGTGGTGTCTGGCCAGAAATGATTTGTTTAATGGGTGCGGGCCCCAATTTCCTGAGTGGGCCTGTACAGTAGTTCCAGGCCTGCCTATGCTGTGATTGCTGGGTCTATGATGGGCATGATGTTACCTCGCCCTTTTTAACCGCTGGCTTATCAAACGATCAAAAGGAAAGGCTGACAGCATGTAATTTTTTTCCACCACGGTAGTGCATAGTATACTCATTGTAGCTGGTACGGTGTGCTGCTTGGCACTATATCGAGTACGACTTACACTGAACAAGGCACGTTTGTGAAAGTAAAGGTATCGGCGGATGGCGGCTTGCGAGGGTGGTGCTATAACGGGGGAGCGCCAATGATTAGCCTATGGGGAAGATTCGTTCTCAGGAAAGAGTTGGCGCAAAACGAGAGTGGCGGTATATCGAGGTATATCGGTGGCGTTATATCGAGGGTTGACTGTATATGATAAATGCGATGGCGGGTCAGGGCGGGAGAAAGCTTCCACATTCCGTTGGACTGCACCAATGATCCTGTGGTACATGTTCCGTAATCACGCCAATGCATTCCACGGGCCCGCTCGAAACTCAATGATCATGTCGCATCTGAATTGCTCGTATTCTGCTGCCTTCGATTCCCAGTCGCCCTTCACTGCCATCAGCCTGTGCCGAAGTTTGGAATCCACATGCACAATGTCAGGGAACGACTCAATGGAGTCAACGAGTTTCTCTAAGGGATTACGCACCTGTGCCGTGGCTTCTTAGTATCATGTAAGCATTTGGGAGAAAGTTGAAAGCTGATGAAAAATTGGGAAAAGCTCGTACGAGTCAATGGGGAAGTGCCGCCATGACACCAACCAGTACAGCTTCCAATGCTGACGTACGTTGGATGTATATAGGAACCTAGGCATGTCAAATTACGGTCAGTGAGTAGACAGTGTGGCGAGAGGCAACACTCCTCTCACATCCCACTCATTGGCAGCAGGGCAACAAGGAAGTCTTTGTGGATCGTTCACTTAACACGTTGACGACCAGCCTATTTTTGCTTGTCCGCCGCGTGGGACCACGCGCATTTTTTTTGTCAAAAAATGCGTCCTCCCAGAAAACATTTTTTTTGCCGAGTTTTTTTAAAATGTTGAATTTTTTGGAATTTTTATCAGTAATTACGAAATCATAATCTTCTGGAACGTTCTCAACAGTTCCAGAGGGTATTCATTGAAAAAAAATCTGCATCCTGGCATCAGGACGCATTGTCGCCAACGTGTTAATGGGCATCCGTGAGAACTGTTCCATCACCTGCCAGCGAGTGGATTCCCGCCATATAGTACAGTATAAAATGTGCTTCTGGTCCGGTAGAAACAACTCCCCATTGATTTACATCTTAGAATGGAATGGTACTTGGGCATGACTCAGCAAAACCGGTTTTGCCGAATAGGCTAAAAGCCATCATTCTGCCATAATCCATGGCACATAAAGCACATGTACCTTTAGGCTACACTGTCTCGCCTAAAGGTCTTAAGTAGGGCTATTGAACTTCATTCTGCAAGATTTTCTTTCTTCACCCGATTCCAATCTCTTCCACCTCCAAAGCACGGGAATCTTGGACCCCTTATATCCTGTACCTAAGTCGGACCTTTTACTCCATTCCACCAGAAAATTGGTCAAAACCCTCTTTTGTTGTTTTCGGGATCGCGTGGGTGATGAAGTACGGAGGCTAAGCAGATGAGGTTCATGCAAAATAAATTTCATTCGCTGTGCTACTAAAGAGTCATAGGAGAACATAAGGAATGGACGTGGTCTTTTCTTTTTTTGACGCCGGAAAGGCAGAATAGCTCCAGAAATTCGCATTCGGAAGAGGTGCTCCTTGCATCGGGTATGGATGAAGAAGCAAAGGCAGCGGTCGTGGAAGGATCACACGTTTCTCAGAATACCAAGGTACGTTGAGTGCACGATACCCCTCAGGTATCTCTATGCATATTGCAACTCTCTCCTACCTCTCGTACTTTCGCTTCTCGCTTTACTTCTCCACTCGACTTAATGGTTCTCAGCTCACGGGTGGAAGAATCGTTGACAAAAACCGGAACTGCGAATGCAATTTAACTACAGCCGTGACAGAGCGAAAACCGAACATCTATTTAGTGACCAGCACGTATCTAAAAATCCCAAATGGAATTTTTGATGGCTGAATAAAATCATCCTGCAGCAGCTGCTCGTGCCAATATAGCGCATTCATGCATATACAGGTGTATTATGCGAGACTAGTCTTACCTGGCGACTTTCCGAAGTATTTGCAGAAGTAGAGCAAAGGATCGCAATCAATTTTGAGCAGGAGGAAAAGGATGAGGGCAATCCCACTCAGACATAAGGCGGCACAGACGAGCATGTCTTGAGAAAATAGATTCTTCCGAACCTATGGGGAATTTCGAAGAGTTATCAACTGAAAGTTTCCGACAATACGTCAGAAGAGAAAAAGGGAGAAAGGAGCTGGCGTGGCATCGAGGGTTCCCACAATGATGCGCCCTAACGTTCCCTCACATACATACATACGTACGTGCGCCCTTCCACGTATAAGAGAGGGCAAGACAAAAAGAAAGGAATTGAATGCATGCAAGGAGAAAAGAGAAGAAAAAAACTCGACTTGAACAATAGATCACCATATAATGTGTGACCTTTTCTCCTTCGGATTTCCATGGCTTGCCGGAATCATCGCGATGAGTTTCGCCCTCGTTTCCTTTTGGGGAAAATGTGCTACTCTTTGCCTCGGGCCATGTCTGGATTCGCTATTCAGTTTCCTTATTTTGGGGGGGGGGGGCAGTTTTCACGAGAGGGATGTCAGGTATCCGAAAGGTCATGAGATTTTCAGGCACTCGGTCGTCCCAAGCAAAGCAGCATTGAAAAAGTGCGTCGAGAATGAGAGCGAAGCGCAGAATTTCCATGTCTTTCTTTTGTTCTGCCTTTCATTCTGTGACTGAAAACGAAATCAGTGTGAATTGTGAGCCTCCTGTTGCAGGAGATTCGGTTGTATCATAAGTACTCCACATTCACACTTGCCCCCTCGCACTTCGCCATTGATTTGGTCGCATTTACACTTTCACTCAAAAAGTGAGACAACGAAGCTGTTGATTATCAGGTCGCTTCCACTTCATTCCTCTCAAACCCCCATGCTGCTCGAACTGGCGGCGACGAGATTTTTAGGTGTGTTAGTGGCGAATAAGTCATTGGACTGACATCAGGAAAAGACGATTTCACAAATTGTGAAATCTAGATTCAAGAGTGATTCCACTCGCTAATCGTCCTGTGTGCTATCCACCGCTCGTATGATACCGTTTATTCATGAAAGCTGCTTTTATTACTAGAAGTCTTGATTCAAAGCCAACATAGTCACAGAATATTGACAGTTGATGGCACGCAAAACAAGTAGTGGGTAGAATCACTTTTGAATCCATCCCTCACTGCGTGGAATTGTCTCAATTAACTTTTATATTTATTTATTTAATTTATAATTTTATCCATAATTTTATTTATTTATTCATTCATTTTTTAAAAGAAAAATGTCAGTGTTTGAGAGTATTTCAAGCATCCTGGACAACCTTGAACAATCCATAAATAAAGAGAATTACCCCCATGCAATTTCCTATTACACCCAAAGTGTGTTGTATTGGATTGCAATCCGGAGAGTTTCCTGGACTTGATTGGCCAGAAAGAGAGGCCAATCAAGGTTACTGTTGTTATCATCATGGAAGCATGCACGTTTGTTCAGAAAATCCAAGTAGCGCATCAGCTATTTTATGGCTATAAGACCAACCATCAGCTATTTTATGGGAAGAGAGGAGTCAGTCAGAATAAAGACGTCGACAGTTTGATAACCCAAAGGCGAGCAGCAAGGAAGGTAGTGAGCGATAATGTAGGAACAACCAGCTTCGTTGCCGCACTCCCCAAGCAAGTCTGAAAATGCAGTCAAGTCAGCGATTACGTTTGAGGTGGGAAAGTGCGAGCATGGAGAAAGACTACTAATCAATTTGGTCCTCGAAGTGGTTTTTATGATAAAGTACTCATCATTTCAGCCCCATGAATGAAGCTAGACTCAGATCGAAAAACACTGATCGCTCAAGACAAAGGCTTCAATTTTTTAAACATCGCCCTTTCCGTGTCAATAAAACTCTTGCAGGGACTCTTCGAGAAATCAAACTTTGTCCAGGGATTCCGAGCTGAGGGATTAACAGTCAACAGACTTGAGGGAAATTTCACGGGATGCGGATATTTATCCATTAAGTCAGCTTTAGCTGACTAAGCCAAAAATAAAAATGATCACCCTCATCATTTTCTCATCCATAAAAGGCATTTTCCAGGTTGTTACGAAAAGCAGTGTCTCATGGGCCTGCACCAGATGCCACCTGTCAGCTTGTGTAGTGGTTGCTCCATATAGCAATAAAGAGATGAGATTGAATATGGGTGAGGTGCTGATTACTGCTTGTTCATCATATCTTTCACCAACGGCCCGCCTGTTTTTGCCAAGAACCTGGAAGTGAAACCATTGGTGTAAAATGAATAAGTACTGAGGAATGTAAGTTGCATCGCTCCAAGTTTAGAAAAAAAAGCTATTCATGCATGGGTCTTTCATTGTCGTTTCGCAGGATGCTATTGGGTTGGAAAGAAAGTCTTGCAACACTTTCTAAAAATTCCTGTAACGTTACTTGGACGTCATGTGTTGCTTGGGTACCTGCAAAGGACGACAGCAAATTCGCATTCACGGATAAATACTGCTATTTCACAACGATCTGGCAAAACTAACTTTCCCATTACACTCAATGAGCGGACACAATTTCATGGAAACCCTATTTGTAAGCCTGAAACCTGCAAAGGACGACTGCAAATGCGCCTTCAGGGGGAAATTCTGTTATTTCACAAAGATCTAGCAAAAACCACCTTTCCCATTACACTCAATGGGCAATGGGCAATTTCATGGAAACCCGATGGAAAAACCTGAAATGTGTATCGTACAATTTATTGGTCGCATATACTTCATTAACTGCAGTTGCACAAAGATCTGGCAAAAACCACCTTACATATTGTTTCTGCACATCCTGATGATATCACAATTTTCATATCTCCTGAATCTGGTTTCAAATCATTCTGTCATTGTCTTGATATATATGCTAAATCTTCAAATGCATCCTTAAATGTTCAAAAAACCTCCGGACTCTGGTGTGGATCTTGGCAAACAAGAGATGATTTCTCTTGTGGTTTCCAATGGAAGGAAACGGGTCTGNCTGCTCGACTTCAGAAGTTGGCTGGCGTCATTCAAAAAGAGCGTCCCAAACGCGACAAAGTTCTCCTTCTGCACGACAACGCTCGTCCACATGTTGCGAAGATGACTCGCCAGACAATTTCGGAACTGGACTGAGAAGTCCCCATCCAGCGTATTCTCCGGACTTGGCCCTTTCCGACAATCACTCGTTTCGGGCCCTCAAGAATCACCTGCGGGACAAGGCCTTCGACGATCGAGCACAGCTCGAAAATGATGTCGGCCGTTTCTTCGCTTCGCAATCGCCAGAGTTCTGGGCAAAGGGCATCGAGCAGTTACCCGTGCGTTGGGAACACGTCATTGACAACAATGGTCATTACATTGTAGACTGAAATTGCATTTCAATAAAGTTATAAAATTTTGACAAATTTGCGCAGAGTGTTGCAAGACTTTCTTTCCACCCCAATATAATAGAATCCTGTGACACAGAAGAACAGAAGGTGAATGCCAGATTAAAAATTAATGATATCGAGATACAATTTTAAAATTAATAATGCAAAAAATATAAAATAAATGACTCTTGGAAATAAAACTGAAACTAACGAAAGCGAATACCTCGTAACAAGAATAGAAGTAATGTCGGGATGGAAGGAAAACATTTGGATGATGGTATTATAAAAATAATATTTTACAATGTAAGATAACTCAAGGACCGGTTTTTACCATCTGATGAGATTTGGGAAGTGATAGCAGAAGTTGAAGAAGATCCATTTTTTAGCGATGCAGGCAACTAACATTTCATTGGCAATGGCAATAAGTGCCCAGTCTACAAAGGGTTCCACGTCCATCATCGTTGTCTTCAGTGGATCCTGCGAGAGAACAAGGGAATCAATCACGTTTTGCATAAAAGATCCAGACAATTAATCGCGTTCTACAGGGGGTTATTTAATATACGGGACTTTTGAAGCTGTCGAAAAGCTCCTCAAACTTAAAAAAAAATCATAAGAATCTGGTCACCGTTCATAACCCTAAAAGGAAGAATGGCACAACATTTGAAAATATGGAAATCTCTTTTGTATTCCTGCTCCAGACGGCATCGACACTGCCAATGTTGATGCTACACTGTTCGTGTATTTCGTGAGAGCCGGAACGATAACAGATGGAACTTCGAATGACTAGAGTGAGGAATTTTTCCTTGTTAAAGCCCTAACAGCTAAAAATATTAAGCTTTATCTTTGTTTTCTCATAATCCTATCTATATCTTTTAAAAAATTTCTGGTGATTGAATAGTTGTAAATTGAGGGATAATCTTTGCTCTCTCAAGATCAAACTCAAAATTGCTGACCATGTTGATGGTGACTCCATCCTTCTTTAGAAAATTCCTGATGATATTTGTTTTAACTCCTCCGGGAAACAAGATCGTGACTTTGATCCCATGCTTGGCTTCCTCCACACGAAGAGAATCGTAGAATCCCTGAGAAAAAGAAAGAGGGACGAATTATAAGTATGTGAACCGGCAGTTCGTTACATGTCACATATCGTCCCGCACCGTTTCTGGGATCGTATGGCTACTTCGCCCTACAGATCATCCATTAATCGGAAACATGATCGAATGCTTGAATGCTAATGAATCAAATGGACGACGCTAGAAATCAATATCGAATGAATTTGGCAAAGTCATATTTCATCGAAGGATCCAAATGCAAAAATAAATAGTGTCAATGACACGGTTCTCTGCGAGCTTTATGCTACTCAACAAAACATCAACTTTGGAATTATGCGCTTCATAGCACAGTCCAGAAAGTGAATGACTTCGTCATTTCTGAAAGTCTTGGATATGTTGCATATATTTCCGATCGAAAAAAAGGAAGCTCTCTCAAGAGAGACAAAATATAGGGATAGGCAAGTGTGATTTAGAGAATTCTCTTTTTCTATCAATCTCTGATTTTTCCCTTTGAATGTGGCCCGTATCCAAATTGGAAATAACATGCTCTCTCGCCGACGGTTTTTTTTTATTTATTGAGTTGTGAAAAGAAGGCGTAGAGGTGTATGTTTTCCTCCAAACAATGACGATGCATGAAATACACGGTGCGATGAGACTTTAAACCCAGACATGATTCAAAAGTGCAACGCACAGTGGTGCTACTTCAGCTAATCACCGAACCACAGCTAAGCGAGAGCTTGCAGCCGGACAGCCAAACTGGAGAAAATCAAACCAGCATTTTTTCGCCCTTGTAAGCCTGTGGCGGCGTGAACCTTTCGATTCCAAGACACTCCCATGAATGACTGCGTTCATTTTACTGTTATTCGTCCATTCGTCAGCATTTTTCGATATCTCGGTACCAACTGACTACACTGGCCAACGCCAATGGAGACGGAAGTCAGAGTGGTGCCTTACATCATGTAAAATAAAATAGATGAAATGAAAAAATACAACATTCCTAGCATTAATTCCTGAAGTTTTCCCCACTACATAAAACATAAACCTAAACTCTGTAAAATTAGTCAAATTTTATTCTTCCAGCGTTGAGGTCCCCCAAACAGAGGATGATCTTATTTATTAAAGAACATCAGACATATGGGGTGAAACAGAACCATTTTCTCCCTTTCTGCAGTTTGATATCAAAGAGACACAGAAAAAACTACTCATATTTGCATTTCTTAAGCCAAATGGAACGTGAATGACCTGTTTGGAATATGTGGGACCCACATCTGCATGACAAACGGCTTCCGAGGGATGAAGGTGGGATTCCAGTAGTTCTTGAAACAAATCTTTCTGGTTTTCCATGTCTTGGATCACCTGGGAAAGGTTGCTCGAGAATATCTGGGGAATTTTTATTTTCTTAGCATTTCTTGTGCATCAGGGCATCCACTCCAGTTTTCATAATAACCCTGAGGTTTTCTGTTTCATTCAAGTTAGCTGAGTTTCCCAGTGAGTTGTCATTTCCCCAGAAGTCGTCCCCAATTGCCCTCAGTTTTCCTTGAGTCGCATGGGTTTTCGTGCAGGGAAGCGTTATCATGCATGAAAGTGGTGAGCTCTTAACCAAGCACATTTCCCTCATCTTGAAGGAAGGGGCTTGCTGACATGCTGAGCCAATATTTACTGCTTCAAATGTTGGTCATCCCTTGTTTCCTGATGCTTTTTGAAGACTACACGGAATGATTTCAGACTTATCGCTTTCCGTTATTAGGAAACAACACTTTCATGGCTTCATGCTGTCATGAGTGTTAGCCATTTCAATATCTTAATCTGAAAACGATCGGAAACAGTTTCAAACTGATCAGACTTGAACATCTTACTCAACAGCAAAAACGCTATTGACTGCTGGGAGGGAGAAGAAGGTATTTTCTCTCTACATGTATCTTTGCGCAAGGATTCGGCGACGTTCATTACGAACATTATCATTGTTCCCTCTATATTATCTAATGCCCATGGGTTTGAGGCTCATATAATTACGAAAGTGATGCAAGAAATTTATGGCAATTCAAACTTTTTTTAAATGTGTGTCATATCTGCATTAACGCGTTTATTGACGTGGTAGGCCACCCTCTCGTTCTTTGATTAAACTGGAGCCATTGTACTAGCAGATGTCCCGTTTTTGTCTTTGGCTACACGTAGGACTGGCGTTGCAAGCCATTGGTGCTTTGTAGAGGTCTTTTTACTTCCTGGATAGTTGATGACTGGCTCAACAAGAGCATCCTACTTCCTTGATGCCCTCCCTCAAATTTGAAACCAGGCAGAAGTAGCAGGGACTCCGATCCATTGCGTAAGTTGCTAACTACAGCACTTCCCACTCCTAGGAACCACTATCTCTCACTTGCACTTTGAATGCTTCTAACTTTCAGGTCAGTTTAACTTTCTTCGGATAGTGGATTAAGCATTTCCACTGATCTCTTCGTAAGCTACCATGTCATGACAAGAGACTAGTTAATCCAAAAAACATGAAAGAAACGCTCAGAGCACGGGCAAGAGTCCTACTCCATGCAGCTCGACACTGTAAGACTAATGGCTGAATTGCTGAACGACTGAAAATGGGAAGTGCTGCTCTATCCACTTCCCTAAATTATCTGAACCCTCGACACTCATTCTAATTTTGCTGTGTAGAGAGTGTCGGGGAAGGGGGGGGGGCAGGGATTTTCTTATGAGTCCATGTATGATTTCCTGAATGATCGATGCAGAAAAGACCTCTGTAGCCTCAGGACCAAGTCTTTGTGTCGCTTTGCTCGGGCTAGTTCCTTTATACAAATCATGGAAACCATGGAAACTTTCGCAATGAACCGAATTTCCCAAGACATGCAGATTTTTTCATCAACTTAATTCAAGGCAAATACACAATGAACTTGACCAAAAAGTATATCAACATTGCCTAATTATTTTCCCGTAGTCCTCGTCTATTCGGGGTCTTAGGATTTCCGTCATTCGTATCCAAGAAGTCACGTACCTTTAACCTAGAAGTCCATGCGACAGGAGGAAAACAAAATAATTTACTGCAGTCCATTTTACTGCGATAAAAACTGCAATACGATACGCGTAATAAGGTTGATGTTAAGGAATTAAACATATATGCATGGGAGAAACTCAAATTCGGATGAGATACAATCAGAAAGTACTTATCTCATCCGAGCGCGATACATTAAATATCTGGTTGCATCTCTGCACACTCACTCGAATTGCCTGTTTGGAAGCGCAATAGGCAGAAGAATTGGGAGTTGAGAAGAATGCAAGGACACTAGAGAGCACGACGATGTGCCCTGTTTTCCTCTGTCTGAAATGAGGCAGGAGGGCTTTGGTCAGCCAGATGCTGCCAAAGAAGTTCGCGTCAAACAATCTCCTAACCATGTTCGAAGAAGATTCAAACACCGTCTGGAAGGCCGATAGCCCCGCGTTGTTTATCAGGATGTCTACCTAAAAAAATAGAAAATTCCAACTTGAATGCAGGTTGTCTATGAGTTGCCACTCTACGTGCAACTGTTCCCCTAATTGCGCCTGCCAGCCGAATGACATTAAATCATTATACTCTGAACTATACTGCGAATTAGTAGTCAATCGTGTAAATTATTGGTAGTCACTCATTGGTAGTCAATCATTGGTAGTCAATCATGTAAAAATATTGGGTGTTTCACTATATATTAAAAGCTTTTTATTCGTCAACAAAGTCTAAACCCAGCAACCTAGAAAAATCATAAGAAGCTTTACACCTTTCGCAGCTGACGAAAGTTGATGAAGTTTCAGTATCACCTCTTTCTGAGGGTCATAAAAGGTCAACCGTGACCGTCTAGCTTTTGAATAGTTTTCCTCAACCCTCAAAGGAAATTTCCCGCTACGCGCTGACAAAACTGTCAACTTTCTGCTTTCAACTGTGAAATACAAGATTTTGCCATAACGCAATACTTATCGAGTTTGGGCAATTTTTCTTCTGATTTGCTTCGAAGTATTTATTCTTGGGTTCATTTCTTGGGCTTATTTTTTCTTGAGATTTGTAGAAGACCGCGGTTGTAACGACAAGCCTTAAAGCACAAAATGAGTTGCGTGATGGAACTGGAGTCTCAGGGTGGATGGTCAAATGAGTCGCTGCGTATTAGTAAATTTCGCTCGTTCATAGAGAAAAAGAGAACTTTTTTTTAGGTAGTCACGTTGAAGGACAGAAAATGCCTGAATTAAGTTTTCATCAACAACACAACGCTTTGAACTCCTTATGCGATGCTGAATTGAGGTTTCATCTTGGGAAATACGATTATTCAATATCTCATGGAACGCTCCTTAAAGTTAAGTCTTTTTCAGCGACGAATACGTTTGGAAGTGGAAATGTAAAAAATGTCTAATCGTGGAGCGCACTTTGAGGAAACGGCGGGATGCGAAGAGTTTTTAAGTGCTTTCAAGTGTGCTTTTAAGAGTGCATATCACTCATTGACACTGAGTTCTTAAGCCGATTAGTTTTCGAGATACAACTTCCTGAAGTCGTCTCACCCTTACTCCATGGAGCCCAAATCCGCCAAAACGACCTATATCTCTTCGAGCTATTCTAGAAGGTGCTGGTGATTCCTGAATGCTGCCGTATGGTCCAGAAACATGGACGTGTGGCTCCAAAAGACCACCTTGTTTGTTAATGCTTGCTCGGCCCACGGTGTGGGTAGTACCTTGATTGTCCGTCGGTTAATGTGAAAAGAGCACGTACACGTACTCGTGGTGGTGTGCTACCGCATCGCGATGACCTGGGTCCGACATTAAGCCCCAAATCGCGTTCCAACATCCTATTTACAACCAGCACACGCGTTCAAACCGGTGGAACTGGTATCCAAGATCAGCGCGATGACAGTCAAGTTGAAAGCAAACGTACCTCTCAAAGATATTTCAGCCCTGCACTGATGCTATTTCAGATTCTGACCAAACACATTCGCGGTATAGTCATCGCTTCATCCTTCCACAAATTGTGCCATCAAAGGACGAAAGCATGTGTAGCTCTAATCCTTTTGTCTTCTGCATACTCTAAACAAAATTAATTGAGAGTTTGACTCAGTTTTGTAGTCACTAAAAGCATGTTACCCTGCCCGCAACCTCCAACTGTGGCTTTTCAATTCCTACTTCGCAAGTACGAAACTTCATAAAATTTTTAAACACATTACCGTAGACAAAGTCAACTCGTTCATCACAGTTAAAAATGCAATAGCAGCAGAGAAAGCCTGGTCTGAAATTACAGGTTTAGCTATTTAAAATATTTTAAAGTTATTTGCATAAAATTATATACTTATGATGAGGTATTAAATAAATCCCATGTTTTCATGTTTTCAATCAATAAATTAATTAAATATAAAAATGAGGCATTCCAGCTCAAGTGATCAAGTTTTAGTCACTTTCGTTGCGCATCGGACTCCGATTGACTTTTAAAATTTTGGGCATGTTGACATCGAATACTTATGAAACTATTTCAAATTTTAGCTCTCTGGCTCTAACGGTTTTCGAGATATGCAGCCCTAAACTTAGCCCCCAAGAGGAAAAGTGACCTTTGGGCTAAATACGCTGTCTTTGGTCCCAGTCGAGCTAGAAAAGCGTATTTGGACTCTATTTAAAGCTGAGACATTGCAGGATCACATTATCAAATCAATTTTCTACTACGTTTATCACCAAGTGAGTTACACAAATTCAAAATGTTCAAATATTGCCGAATTTTGCACGCAAATTTTGAGCACTAGGATGCAGGGCAACACAACGAGCTTTTGCAACGTTGTAGACTAAAGCAATGCCAATTCAAGAACTAAATTTCAACTCTCTACGTTGTTTGAAAAAACTTGAAATTAAAGGAGATAACTCGACCTCTATTCACTGCCTTCCTGTGGCTGTTGAAGGGATCACAACAGTTCTTCCCTCCCTTGAGAAGAGTTTATCGCACTGACCAAACTTGTTCATGATGAAGATAAAGGTTTTTGAATACATTCCTGGTTTTTCCAAACCTAAGACTCAAAATTTCCTGTTCATTTTCACTGAAAGAGTGATATGTAGCTTGTTTGGTGGCTATCACCGGACACTTGGAAGGAACAAAATTCCATTCTGAAGTTTGCTTAGTCTGAAATGCAAATGAAGCGTTAAGGTCAGCACAAGTGTAGTTGCAGCAAATCCATAAAACTTCAAATCTGAAACAGGTATAAAATATAATCACAGCTATTTATTGGTCACTGGTGAGATATACCCAGACCTGGTTGTTTCACCAGGATTCCAGAAGTTGGTACTCAGCTCAGTTCTACAGGGATGGAATCAGGAGTCTGCCTGATCGTTGGCAGAAGGTGATTGACTGTGATGGCGATTACTTCGTTGAATGAACTTTTTTGCTTTTTAAGTCGGCAATATTTGAACATTTTGAATTTGTGTAACTCACTTGGTGATAAACGTAGTAGAAAATTGATTTGATAATGTGATCCTGCAATGTCTCAGCTTTAAATAGAGTCCAAATACGCTTTTCTAGCTCAACTGGGACCAAAGATAGCGTATTTAGCCCAAAGGTCACTTTTCTTCTTGGGGCTAAGTTTAGGGCTGCATATCTCGAAAACCGTTAGAGCCAGAGAGCTAAAATTTGAAATGTTTTCATAAGTCTTTGATGTCAACATGCCCATTTTTTTTTAAGTCAATCGGAGTCTGACGCGCAACCACCCCTTGATCACTTGAGCTGGAATGCCTCAAAACTTATTTAACTTACCGTTTCGGGAAAAGAAAGCAGAAACAACGTCTGTCTAAACGAGCGCTATGAGGCACAGGAGGGAGGCCAAGATTCAGTATAAACATTGGTAAACAAAGAAAACTTCGCAGAACCAACCGAGGCAAAAGAACTTAGCTTCTGAATTCTTTCACTAGATGGCTGCATCAGTGCGAAGTGGGAAAATTGATTCCCACTGTGCTTTACGCTACGCTCAGTTTTGTTTACCGTGAAGTATACTACCCGCTGGGCATTAAAGGGTTAAAACGAATTATCGAGGTCGAACCATGAAGTGCATATGGAGTATGGGAGTGAGACTAATTCTGAATTTTAAATAATTCGTGCTTACTTTAGGTAATAAATTTACCTATTTATGGACGATTATCACCAAGGCTCCGCTTTACGGACACTCTGTACAACGTCTAATACTTTTTGAATACGAATTTTGAAACGTCACTGGAAGATTCTCAGCATAGAGGACGAATCAGGAAAAATCTCATGGAGAGGAAACGAAAAATATTTTCATGTATACCTTCTTGAAATGTCGCAGAACTTTTTCCACCCATATTTCTTGAATTCCAAAACCAGCGACGTCACCGTATATGATGAGAAAGTCTTCTTCGCTCAGTCGACCTTGTGCAGCCTCTGCTTAATGAAGAAAGGATTTCCTACGTCACGAATTTCCTCGTTGCCAGGAACGATGGATTTGATGCTTCCTCACCGAGACAGAGGGCTCTTACGGATTCCAGATCTTCTCCTTGGAGACTGTGAAGGACAAGCTTGGTTCCGACCTTGGCCAAGCTTAAAGCCAGCTGCTTCCCAATCCCCGACCCTGCTCCCGTTATCCACGCCACCTTCCCCTTTAGAACCTCTGAATATAGCAACAAAAAAAAATCACACAATCGAAGTTGGTAGTGGGTGTGGAAATACTACGTTACGCGAGGAAAATTGCGGGAATCCCCACCCCAAGGGAGTGAAGCACTTCGTTCAGGTGAATTCTCACCAGTAACATTATATAGTCCCTTGCACAATATATAGACTTATTTTCTTTTCATATTGCGCGACGTGTTAGCCTAATATGCTATACTGGGCCCAAAACAGAATGCTCGTCGCAGGGAAGTATGAGACTTGCAAATAATTGAAGCAACCTCACACTCCTTCCTCGCTTCAGCAGCGCTTCTTCATGATACCTCAACGAAACCACCCATTTTCTGAAGGTTTTATATTTAATAAATGTGTTTATTTTGACTGATAGTCTACAATGTGGCCTGGATGCTTTGCATTCACAATTGACATTATATATGATTTGTCAGAAATGGTCGCGCCATATGAAAACATAACGTATATATTTGTATTTGTAATAACGGACAACACTTTTTAATGATTATTTCAAACTGGGAATGTGACCACCAATCCATGGAGACAATGTTAAGGACCCTTGAATCTTGAAAATAATGTTATCAAGATGTCCGCTCCTGAGACTGACACACCTTGTTGCTAAGATTTCAGCATTGTTCTTAACTCCCGTTCATGTGACAAGATCTTTGGTGAGAATTTCTCTTTTGACATTTTCGAGTTTCGAATTCGAGCAAGTTCTGAGAGCATTTAGCCTTGGAATCCTGGAATTCAAGTATTATGGAAGTCAAGGCCCCGAGTTTTATTCATGATGACATCAATAAAATAAAATTTTGAACTTGAACGATTCATAGCATTGCTCGATCATAATGAATAAGACTGTTAAATTTGACTAGATGCATCAATATGAAAAACCTAATTACCTCAGAGAGTAAAAAGTTCAGTAGTGAGGTCCCAGTTGCTCCCTAACTTGCTTTTTTTACTTACCACTATTTACTCCGTGTGCCATTTGGTAAACGGAGTAGCCATCAATACGGATCCCAATTGATAGATACACGGGATCGTACCATATTTATATTTGAACTGTATTCATCTCTCGAGTTTAACAACACTTCATTTGTTAAGATCGAGCTATGTTATGAAAGAGTACAATTACACCTCACTTCAGCACATTTTTATTTCTGGACTTTGTTCATTGTCAATGTGGCTCTTATTTCACCACAGTGTATTGGGTATCTATTAACTTTTGGATTGGGTTCACATACATCTGTGTATCGGAAGCTGAAAATCTTGGGTGGGGATAGCAAAAAATTATTATGAAAACCATTAATTTATATGCACAGTAGAAGAATCTGCAGCATTCGCTGTTGGTCCCTGCCATTAGAAAAATATAGGAGTACGGTACTAAGCGCGGAAAGTACGTACACATGCGGGAAAACGATAGTTAAAACCAAACCTGGCGACTTCCTGAAGTACTTGTAAAAGTACAGAGGAGGATCACAGTTGATATTTAGGAGGATGAACAGGATGAAAATGATCCCGCCCAAATACAGGGTGACACAGAGCAGCATGATGTATTGTGAAGGTACACTAAGCTTGGCAAATTGAAAAAAAAAACTCGCTGTGAAGGCAAAACGAGAATGGAAGAGAACGATTTTCCTTCTGCTCTGGAAAGGAAAGCCGTTCATGTAAAAATTGCCTTAATTAAATGGTGGTTAGATGGAACGCGGCATGGTTTGCTATTGGACGCGCAAAAGCTAGGCGAAACTCGATGGCCTGTTGCGCATTGTCATCTCGATGAAGCTCAATGTCGACTCCTTCCTCCTATGAACACGTCATCATGATTTCTATCACGGGCACTGAAAAACGAAAAACGTGAGCGGAATTCATGAAGCATGACGTAGCACCCAAAAGAAAAAAGCTTAATAGCTGCACGACACGCCCTCTAAGAGGTTTTCATGACTTGACCGAATCATATACATGGTACCCAGTTAGCAAAAATGCTTTAGCATTTATACCTAAAGGGTGTTTCAACTGCAACTCATATTAATCCTTTGCGGGTTTCATAATTAGCCTTTTCGATAGGTTAACTTAAAAATCCTTTTTAAAATGTTAAATAATAAACCGAGCTGGATTAATATGTAGCCTTTCTAGTATACGTGGAGTCATAAAGATGAGTGACTTTCCTCTAACCCAGGAGTGTCAAACTCTAATCCGTCGCTTTTGCACGGTTTCGCGAAGATCGCCTCTCCCGAGGATTCTTCTCAATTCTTGAAGAGACTCTTTCGAGTGGTACGGGTGTTTCCTCTGGAGGACGTCGTTTGGACTGCAGTTCATTCCAGGTTTTCGAGGTTTCATCTCCGACGGTGTCGTCTTGAGGACGTGGGATATTTATCGTAGTGCTCGGAGAGTCGGATCGGGCAGCGATGTCGATGTCGATGCAGAGACGAGTTTCCGGATTTTTCCTCGTGGTATCCTCGAGCGACACCCAAAGAACACCGACTTCAGCATCTGCACCCTCTGTCATGTTCTCCGAGGTTGAAGTCGATGAGTCTCTTGCGAGTTCGTTCGACACCTGGACAACGTGATCTGCGGCCACCCGAAAGGGAACTCGATCTATTTTCGCGTCCGTGACGATCGGAGAAACCAGGGTGTCGGAAAAGATACCCGTCCGTCTCGATTTTGTATTCATCGGCTTCAGCAGTCCTGCACACTTCGGCCGTTCGAGGACCATGGGATCGCGTATTTCCGACTTTCGATCCTCTTTTGAATTTGTCGCGTCGACACAGGTCGGTCTTGTTTCGTGGATTTGCACGATTTATATAAAGTCGACGTCGAATGGCTACGATTCGTTCCGTTTTCTCCGAACCAAATTCGGAATTTTCCCATCCGAATTCCTGACAGCATCGACCCTGAGTCCGTCCGATACCGTAGCACACATTTTCGGCTCGGTCTCAAAGACAATTTCGTTGTTCTCTTCCCCCCTTAGTCCAAGGCGAGATGATTCACGAACCGAAGTTTTCATCGACAAAGCCCTCTTTACCTGAACCTTCTTGGATTGTTTCCGACGACCCCAGCCTCCGGGCGAATCGTTCCGTCTTCGCAGCAGAGGTTTCGAAACGAAAGACAGGAAATGAGGTCCTCAAACAGCTTATGAAGCTTATTGGAGCATGAACGCCGGAACTCCCAGGAATCCCACGCGGCGGACAAGCAAAAATAGGCTGGTCGTCAACGTGTTAACTCGCGGTCAAGGACTCCGCCTGAGTCCCGGCATCTCAACATCGGCACCTTCCCTTTGATTTTCCCTGGTAAGCTTTTTAACTCGCGTGTCCAATCCTTCCGCTCGCGGCCTTCCACCTTCTTCGAGTTACCGATGGGGTTTGAAGTTCGGCGAGGTCGACGCCAAGTCGAAATTCCAGCTCTGGGTCTCAAATGAGCGTCTTCTGGAACGGAAGCTTCCCCGGTCTTCTTGGCAATCGTGGCGTTCGTCTCTTCCTTCGCTTTCATCATGTTCTTCAGGAGTCGCAAAACGACTCGTTTCAACAGCCTGTTGGCAGGACCACTTACATCGAGTTCCTCGAGGAACTTCACGAAGTCCACCTTAAGATCGCCCCGTCTATTTCGACTGTGGAGTGCAATTTGTAGGTGTCGGAGTCTGAACAGGGCCATCTCTTCCTTTTCCTCCATCTCTTCCCCTCCACTCATGGTCCGAACGAAAGAATGCCAAGGAAATCACGCATTCGACAGATTAGAGCATAGAGAAGGGCGCTGGAAAACAACAAGCGACATCGTCATGGAACCATCTGCAAAAAGGTGCTATGTCCCGAGTATAATGAAAACGAATGGTAGAAAGATAGAATTAATACGGAGACAAAGTAGTTTGTTACAGAAGTAGTTACCTAGAGATTCTTCGATAAATGTTTATTGGCGATCGCGTCGATGCAAGAACCGGGTGATCATGATGTCATTGCATTATCATAAATGACATTGGAATGTTTCCACAATGGCTGGACAGATTTGCATGATATTTGATATTATAACTAAAGATAAAGTTAAAATTTTTTCAAAGGAATATTTCAGAGTAGGTAAGATGAAATTGCGTAAATTTTCAAAATGTGCACAAGATTGTGTATCTTGCTACAGGGTGGAATAGGAAAGTTGCAGAGTTTCCACCAAATGAAAAGACGAAACAGCTAATTTAACAATGGCTTGAGTGACTTATTATTACGCAAATGGATGCTATGTGATTGGTACAATGTAGGAGCGCCACACGCCGTACTCCGTGAGGCGAGGACAAGCAAAATACTCCCCTGCTTAAGGGTTAATATACCACAAAAATCATACCCAAAACTTGAATAGCACCTCCATTCTCTAGTGAGCCCCCCCCCCCTTTTTTCTCCATTCTGGAACCCTTTTTACCCAAGTGCTCCGGAAGTAAGGATAAACTGTGTCCTTTGCATTCTGTACCAGAATTCCCCAATAGCAAGGGCAATTTAGTTATGCTAGCCATCGACTTTCTTAGATTCCTCGTAAGTTTGCACTGAAGCAACTACATTTACAACCGCATGCCTAAGTGCTGGCCTCTTACTCACCTGTCTGGGACAGCCAAGAGTTCTTTCACTTTTTTCTCATTTTGACATCTCAGAATTGGTTAGCGAAGTCAACTTCTCTCCAGAGTTCAGTCCTCTTTACAAAAAAAAGTGTAGAAACAAATTGAAAGGCAGAAAAATGAGGGGTATATCTTAGGAAGTGCTGGCGAAACGAACACAGCAGGCTTTAAAAGGAGAGAACCCCATGCGCAAACGCTTTTGGGTTGAGTTATTTTCTGCAGATATCTGACTGATCCATCCGTAACTTCATGGTTGAAATATGGATGAATCACCTAGACATAGGCCTAAGCCTAACATACATTGAAAAACAGTAGACTGAAGCGCATGTTGAGTCAGTGAAGTATCTTAGATTGACTTGGTAGCTCTCAATGCAGTCGGTTACAGCCTTAGTTCCTTTAGTCTCCTTTGTTTTCTTTATTAATGAATAAAAATACCCTTTCTTTACTTTTCTGATGACACCTTGCTCCGGCGGTCAGAAAATGGCATTAGCGTCAGCCTAAACGAGAAGCAAAGGGAGACATAACTGCCACGTTTCCTCCTCCCTGCTGCCCTTGTTTGTAAGCCTCCGTTAGATGTGATAATTAACGTGCAATATATTCTCATGGACTTGGATGAATCCGAAGATGAAAGCGGAGAATCCCGGTACCCCGGCAGCCTTTGCAAACCGGTCGAAGGAAGGGGATGAAACCGAGTCTCCTGGTCAAACCGAGAGAATTGACTGTTCTAATTGTACGCCGGAAGGAAATAAACTGATTGGCATGTAAATGGCAGAGATCTTGGCCATCTCAAAACATCAGAAAAATTACGAAATTTCACCCTCGTTCTTGAGAAATTCGATTCCTTTAAAATGCCCCTCCCCCGAGAACCGTAGTGGGCACCTTGGGCTGCCTGGATCGATTAATATTTTGTTTTATTGGATCGGTTTATGAGATTAGGGCTTTTGCTTCAATTTACCTTGCTGTTGAAATTAATTAGTCTTTTAAACAAACTTTGAATATTTATTCAGAAGGCGGATCTATTCGGATGCTATTACTTTCAACAACTTTTTTTAAACACTTTTTTACAATGCCATTTTTGGTCAAAATCCGAGATGGTCGAGCTCACGCTCTGGTCGATTTGGCGTGGAATGGCCCATACTTTTAGGCTAGCAAGTCGTCAATATAGTGGGAGGTGAACTGGTGATCTAAAGAATGAGGCATTTCATTCATTTGCAGAGATGCAAAATAAAATGATAACATTTTATTTTTTTTTAGCAGTAATTGCAAATCGATAAAACCTGCGAACAAATTCAATTCCCGACTCGAATGTAGTTGAATGCAAAGCTAGCCTCAAGAAGCATCTCAAAGTCGTCCTTGTCAATGCTGTCGCGATCACGATCACCAACGTAGCACCTGTAAGGTAGAAATACCTCAAACAAAGTAACGAAGTTTCCATGGAGCGGGTGTAGAGGGATCTTTGTTTACAGGGTAGTAAATTCCCATGATCTGACGGTTTCAGCCGATTCAACCATGCTGACGTCTCTCATAGCTTTCAGGTCAACGATGTTGGTCCTGATAATCAATTATTCCTGGGAGTTCCGGCGTTCATGCTCCAATAAGCTTCATAAGCTGTTTGAGGACCTCATTTCCTGTCTTTCGTTTCGAAACCTCTGCTGTCCCAGATTCTTATTTAACAAAACTGCTCATGAGAGGCTTACGAACCGATTGATATCATACATGGCGCCAAAATCCTGCTGAAAAAACCTCACTACAAACTCATGAGGTCTCATGAGACCTCACGACTTTCTCGTGAGGTTGTCCGAATATCTCATGAGGAAATCCTCATGATGTAATCTTCATGAGGTACTTAACGAGGTCTCACGACCTTCTCATGAGAATTGTGCAGTTCCTCATGAGGCTTCGAAACGTCCTCATGAGGATCGAGGCCTCGTGAGACCTCATGAGACCTCTTGTTCGTTGATG